GGGAGCTAGACTTAAAATAACATAAATATGTATGTTTTATTATAGTAAAGTACTTTATTATCTACATGCAGAGTAGTTAGTAATTGTTAATTTATACGTATACGTACATGTATGCTCTACTGAAATAACATGTTAGTTTGCTCCATTCTTCTGAGATGCTTGCCCATAAATAATTTACATACAGTTTCAATGTTGATAAGTGTTATAATGATTATGTATTAAAGCCAGAGCACCCAGTCTTTCTTTGGTTTGTGTACACCTCAGGTAAATATTCAACCGGTGGAGAGAAGATACCGAATGTTCACGTGAACATGAACTTAGTGGCAGTGTGACAACAAGTTTCAGTAACATAAGGATATTTGGTACACTGAAGCATGTTTTTAAGCAGCTAACCAGTATCTAGGGCCTGTCCTGAAGAAGTATAGAAAATCATCTTGCCTTCCATCGATGAAGTTCGCCACCAAACATATTAGGTTTTGGCAAATCTTCTCTGTAAAAATCTATAGCTTGTCTGATATCAAAGATAGAAAACTGTTGTGTGAGTTTTGATGGCAAAAGTTTCTGAATTGATGCCACTTTCTTTACATGTGAATCAAATTTGGAGGAAAGATTACTGATAATGTGGTTAAGAAAAGGAATAGTTACCGTTTTCTTAAAGTAATCCTCCACGGAACTATATTCTGCATTTGCACGTTCAGCTTGTCATTGACTAACTCATGGCATGCTAACATTAATATTAGATATGTTTACAATATTTCTGCTGTGCTTGAAGATACGATATGAATAATCATCTACGTTCACTCTTAGTGAAGTCAGTTCTTTACAGTATTGTTCTATTAGGTAAACACCAGAAACAATGGCTTGGCTTGTACCTTACAAATTTACAGAAGCTTCTTTCATAAAGTAAAAGGAAAGTTATAAAGCTGTTAAAAATGAATTCAAAAGATTCCAGTGTTTTTAGATAAGCCATAGCATTTTTCTTATCTTCAGGAGCCTAATTGTCGTTAAACATTTCAAAATTATCATTTCCATACACAATAACCTCACGCATGTGAAGTAAGAGTGGATGACGTAAACAGAATCTTTTCCAACCTTCAATATTTTCAACCCAGCATGCAATGCACACGTTGAGTAAAGAAAGAAGCGATAAAGCTGCTCCATGCTGGATGTCCCTTTTAATAGATTATCTCTAATAGTTTCACACGTTTAGGTGAGGATTTAATCCAAATAGTTATTCCTTTAACTTGATCGATACAATTCCGTTGGAACTGAATATAGATTTATAATAGTAAGATTATTTGAGTGACCAGCGCAATAAATGAACAAGGCCTTGCTTTGCATAGCTCGAATTTGTTTTTGGACACCAGATCTTTCGCCAGCCATGAAGGATACTCCATCATATCCTTGACCACGCAATTCATTGAAGATAATTCAACATCATTCAATATCTTTGTAATTGCACATACAATATCTGTTGCTCTGATCCTCTGTAGTTTAACAAAACCAATAAATTCTTCCCTAATTTCACAGTTGTCATCTAAAAAGCGGAGTCATATTGGTAAATGTTCCATATTGTGAAGAACAAGAACATATCAGCAAGACCAGAGTATAATCCAGCCTTTTTTACTTCATCAATAATTTTTACTTGAATAACATCATATCCTATGACATTGATGATGTCATCTTGTGGTTGGGGAGATATATATATATGTAGATTTTTTTTGTCTTGGGATGATACAAATTAGCTTTCAGTATTTCATCATTTTCAGCATAATGTTTCAGCAAGGCCAGAAAATTACCAGGAATTTTTGAAGAATTTACATCTTCGGTATTGCCGTGAAATGCCAAGCATTGTTTTCCTAAAAACAAAATGTCACAAACAGTTTGATAAAGAATATACATATTCTGAGTTATACATGATTGAAGGGCACTGTTGGTAATTATATCAATTATACTGGATGATGGATGTTCAATGGAAGCCTTCAAAGCATCAGCAACCTGCATAGAATCATGATGATAAACAAGCTTAGAATGGTTGCTTAAAGTGTCACTAATTTTTGTCCAGTTGATTT